TATAACTTGGTAACATATTTCATGCATAATTACCCCACAGATTTATACAGCTATGAAAAAAAAATCATTTAGATCATAGACACACGCTCCAGAACAATGTAACAGCTCCAACCCATCAATGTTTATACACTGGTCAGGGGAAGATCGTTAAAAGCACAGAATAATTTATATGGTCATTGAAATTTGCAAATTTCTTTCTCCCAGTGTCTGACATAGACCCAGTCCAGCAAAGCATGGAAGCACATAGGGAGCTCTGAGCCTGTTGGCAATCCCACTGAAATCAATGGGATTTCTTACATGCTTTAAGTTACATGGGTGCGTAAGAACTTTGCTGTTTATAGGGCTTGAACCTGGGATAGAGGGAAACAACAGGATAGAGTTCTCTACATGACAGTGAAATTATAACCAAAGTAAACCCCCCACTCTTCCACCCGTATCCATAATGTGCAAGGCACTGTCCACAGAAATAGGAAGATGTTGTCCCAGACCCAGAAAGCTGCAGAAATCTTTCCTTACTCACGTAATACTCCCATGAAGGCTAATGAGAATTTTGACTAAAGAAAGAGAGATCCAATGCATCTACCACACACAATATGTAGCTACCCAGAAAGAAAGCGAGGGGTGCGCAGAACTACAATATATCCGTATGCCATTATGTTATCACACCTTGCTGTATAAGCGTGTTTGTTTTTTCTTAGAAGGGAAACAGATACTGGTATTTTGTTCCCACTGATGGCTAGATATTCTAGAATGCAATCTTCACAGTCATGTTAAATGTTACAGTGGGGCTAGCTGAACAGTCCTGTAACACTTTGAGATAGTCTCTTGCAGTAAATCAGAATAATGCGAGTTGGAATACTGCAAATTCACCACTGCACAGAGGGTCAGCAAAAGGTCTATGTATCTCTTAAGTAATATTTTGAGATCTTCGTGGAACTTAAGTGCTGAATAGGGCACAGGGGCAAACTTTACCCTGAGAGAAGCTTTCCAATTATCTCCAACCTTATCCGTACTTGATTTTAAATAACCTCCACCTTTTATTAAAATGTATCAAACTGCTGTATTTTGTGCTTCTTCATTTGTAAAGCAAGTCTTAAGAAACATAAGAGAAATATTAAAGGCAGATTGTCAATTTAAACTTGGCCCAATTTTTTTTGTGAAAACAACTCTTTCTCAAACCCAAGATTGATACAAATCATGGAATCATTTCCAAGATGTTTTTTAAGAAATAAACATTCCTCTTCATTATTGGAAACCCAAACAGTGCAGCCTTATGAACACTGGAACGAGTTACGTAAAACTAGCTTGATTGATTTTTTTTCTTTGTCCAAATTGAGGGAAATGCAAAAATTTGGGTGTGTTTGTCACTTTAATAATCTGAAAGTCCTAGTAACAGATAAATGTGTATTTGCTAACTTACGCTTTTATACTGGTAGCATTCCTTTAACACTGAAATATGTCACATTCAGTTTTATAGCAAAAGGTATGTAAAATCATATAACGATTCCAACTATGTGAGTAAAGAAAAGGTTAAACGTTTTTAATGCACTTTTTAAAACAATTCTGTATACCTGATCAATATATTTCCCTAGGCTGAAAATAAATGAGTTCTCCTAGGAAGCGAAGGACAGAACAAAATGTCCATTTCTCTTCCTAGTATGAAAAGTAGTGATATAAATGCCCTCCAAGTAATTTTCATTAACTGCAGTCCAAACCTAGGGCTTGATCCTGTTCATTGAGATCAATGGGAGTTTTGCCTTGCCATGGACTTCAATAGGAGCAGGATAGGGCCCCTGTAGCTGGTATTTTCACAGTTGTCAGCCTTCTTAATAGGAAGAAAAGTGGCTTTGCAACCATATGGTATTATTTTTAACCCAAAACATTTCACTGGAGAAATTTAGGCATGTTACAAACCAACGTAGTCATAAGCTTGCTACTTCATGCTTCCAATACTTTTCCTTTGGGGGAGATCTAACAATGAGGGCTTTGATCATGTAACTTTTACTCAGGTAACTAGTCCTGATGACCGTCAGTGGAACTAATCACCTGAGTAAGGGCTGCAGGATCAAACCCAACGTTACCAGGTACTGGTAGGAACAGCAAATGTTAATGCCCAAGGCAGAAACTCAAACGCACCGTTCCAAAGAGTGGATTTCTTTGTAGTATTGTTTGATACTGCCCCCTTTTGCCCAACAACAAATCAACACCCTAGACTCCAGACAAAACTTTGCATGACATGCCGTTGTTTTCAGTAAAACATGATCATGCAAATACTCTGATTTAACCCTGACATTGCTGCTCGGCGCTCTAAAGAGAGACTATTAATCAAGGCTCTATAGCTCTGCTGTGCAAACCTCATTTAAAACCTGGCCGCAATTTGCCAGGCAAGATCCTTTTAAAATAGAAAACCCGTCAGCGATATTCTTCAGTAACATTTCCACCCTTGCACTAAGGGCCCGTGGTCCGATCCTGCTTCAATTTAAAGTGACTTAAATGGGAGTACTTGTGGCACCTTAGAGACTAACAAATTTATTAGAGCATAAGCTTTCGTGGACTACAGCCCACTTCTTCGGAAGAATTTGTTAGTCTCTAAGGTGCCACAAGTACTCCTGTTCTTTTTGCGGATACAGACTAACACGGCTGCTACTATGAAACCTGTCATTAAATGGGAGTAATACCTGAGTAAAGACTGCGGGAGCAGAGCCCCAGCTCGCCACGTGGAGCGAAAGGGAGGTCAGGCAAGACCAGCAGAGACCTTTTGAAATTAAGCCCCTGTTTCACCCGCATTGTCTATCAATCTTTGGGCATTTCCAATGCACCCAGCCCCGTGCTATCTTTTTCAGGCTAAGGCTGTGTATATAAATGGATGGGGCCACCTTGCTACAAGTCATTCCCCCTGCCGATTCCCCTTTGCCCAGGGCCCCCCGCTTCAAGCTTTTGTCTTCTGATGTGAACTCTCTCTAGCTTGCCCCTTTTCTCCTCTCTGGTCGCCTGAGGGGTCACACGAGGGCAAACGCGTTGTCAATTGCCCCAACCTAACAACAGGAGGGTGGGACAACAAACAAAGCCAAGACCCACATTCTGTATGGCAGGAGCCCCGGGGCTACTTCGGGATTAACACGTCCCTGACCAGGCTGAGGACAAAAACATTAATCTCTTTCAGGATAGAAGAAGGGAAAGGGGGAAATCGCCCCCCTCTAAAACAGCATAAAGCATAACAGGCACTGCAAAGGTTCCCTACTGGAATCTGCTTTATTCATCACTCAATCCAATTTTGGAAGGAAAAGTTTTAGTCGGAGGGTTTAGGAGAAGAAAAACATGCATGATTCAAGCAGCTGTTAAGAAAAAAAAAAGCTATTTTAAAACCCTGAGTAATCTGGTTAAATATCAGCAGGATTTTCCTTCTTGCCACCCCCTTTCTCTCTGCAGTTTTTGACTAGCGTTTTCTCTCTTGGGTACCTTATAAATCAGGCATATAGCCAAGTTAGCGCTTCTCTGCAGGAACAGTCGTTTGTCCCAGCTATGCTGTCTCCCTCCTTCTTGCCTTTATTCGCCCATCTTTTCTAATGAAAACAGCAATAACATTTGCCATCCGTTCAGTAAACAAACATTGAGAAGGGGGTTGGGGTGGGGGAAGAATCACCGCCCTGTGATAACTTTTTGCTTTAGTTGGTTTCTCTCCTGTTGGCAGATCAATCGGCCCAGGGTATCAGCTTGTATATGAACCCACCCAAAGGCGCTGAGATCAAATCTACTGCAGCCTAAACAAGAGTTTGAGCAACAAAGATAATGAACAAGGGCGTGGGCATTCTTGTTTAGAACAAGCTTAAACTTCACCAGGAGCCCCCCGCCCACACACACACACACAAAACAGTTAAAGAGGGATCGGGAGCTGGGGATCTCACATGCTTGCAGGGATTTTTTTTTTTTTTTTTTTTTTTTAAGCGCAGGAAATAATTTAAAAACCCAAACAGAGCGAACAGTGTACAAGGAACCATACAAGTGTACTTCTCCCCAGTTACTTCCCAGCAGCGATCTAAGCCTATAAATAAAGGGACAGATTTAATAACGGAGTAATGTGGACTTGACAACCCCTTTAAAATATCCTCACACTCCCCCCCTCCCTTTGTTTGTTTTCTTTAAGGAAACTAACACTGTCTGGACACTCATGCTGCCAGCCAGCACCCTGTGGCAGGTGGGAACTGCCGGAAAATACAGATCTGCAACTTTTGGTGGGTGGGTGTGTATGCGTTGGCTCGGCAAAGATTTGTTTTAGGTTCCCCCCCCCCTGCCCCCACCACCTAAATTTCCAACAATACATGAAACCAAGGAGCCGTACAAGGCTCTCTGGTTCCCTCTCCCCCTCCGCTTTTGATCTTCATCAGGACGTGAGCTGAACGTTAATGGGCCACCCCTACCACAAAGACAAATTACCATCTGGGGGGAAAAAAATCATTCATCCCCTTTTCCTCCAAGGTACCGCACCCCCTCCCCCCCCCACCACACACACCCCTCCCGCTCTGTGCAGCCCCGGTGAGTGGATTTAGGGGGAGAAAAAATAAATCACTTCCACAGCCGCCTCTCCTAGTTCATTTCCTCTCCAGCGCTCCGGATCGCCAACTGCACCCCCCCCCCCACGCTCTACAGCCCCCGGTGGGGAAGGAGGTGTGAAAAGGGACCGCACAACCGGACACACACACACACACCCCGGAACAATGCAGCTCCCCAGCACCTCGCCTCCCCTTCCCCGTGGCGCCGCGAATCGCTTCCCACCGATCCCTGTTGCTGCGGCAGCCGGAGCGAGAAGGAGGTGAAGCTACACAAGAGC